TTAATAGGCTAGTTCTGATAATTTCATGCCAAGTGAAAATGTCCATAGTCATATTTTATGTTCCTAAAGTAACAGAATGACTTTCAATCTGGAAAAGACAAAAGAAATGCTAATGTAGCATTTTTTTTCAATTTTTCCGAAAATTTCCGTTTCCCCCCAAAAAAAACCTGGGGGGGAAACGGGGTTTTTTTCCGAGCTTCAAAATTTCCGGAAATTTTACATCTCTAGGTGGGGGTGAATCGGGAGGAGAACTGTCCGGGGCGTGCTTCTGCCTCAGCTGTTGCTGGGGTAGCCTCTGGAATCCCAGCCCTGTCAGGTGTGGGATTTTCCGGCATTGAGAGCTCATTCCCAGCAGCACTTAGATCCTCTGCTGGGGCCGCTTGTTCGCACTCAGCGGGAGCCGCTTGCTCGTAGTCAGCAGGAGCCGGGACATAGGGCCGCTGGGAATATCCCCGGGATCCGGAGACTGGGGGACGGCGAGCGTTATTTCCAGCCCCGTTTTTGTGTATTCTGCACGCGACTCTCTTTTCCACTCTGCTCCCCTCCATCCCTTGTCACAGCTTCCCAAAGAGCAAGTGCTGAAGTTCTACAGGAGCATGACGCTGCTCAACACGATGGACCGGATCCTGTACGAGTCCCAGAGGCAGGTAAGGCCACCGGGCGACCCCTGGTTGGGGCAGGCCGGCTGAGGGCCGGGCCACTTTTACCGCACTTCAGAAAGTAAGGCGTGAACGGTTCCTTATGACGGCCGAGGGAGGTTTCTCTGCTCCAGTCTGGAGAAATTAAATGTATGACGGAGTTTGAGAAGGACTGATCAGTGGATTTAGAGCTGGTGTCCCCAATCTTGGGGGTGTGTCTTTTTTTTGTATTTTTCATGTGTGTGCGTGTGCGTGTGCGTGTGCGTGCGCACGCACGTTCACCTGCACAGCCAATCAAAACTCCAGTGGCAAATCAGAAGCCTTGCTGGGCAAAAGCCCCACCTGGCCACGCCCACTTTCTAAAAACACTTGGTGGGCACCAGGAAATGTGTCAGCACCGTGGTGCCCGCGGGCACCAGGCTGGGGAGCCCGGGTTTAGAGACAGCGAAATGCTGTTCTGGAGCCTTCCACCATGTGTGACGGTAAGTTCCGTCTTCTGTCCATAGGGCCGGATCTCCTTCTACATGACCAACTACGGGGAGGAAGGCACGCACATCGGCAGTGCAGCCGCCCTCGATGACACTGACCTGGTGTTCGGACAGTACCGGGAAGCAGGTAACCGACGGGTCCTGGCGGGATATAACGTCTGTGATCAGCTCTTTGGTTGTTTTTAGGCAGGTCGATAAAGGCTAGGATCTGGGCCACGGATAGAGTTGCCAAGTCGCGGCAGCGGATCATAGCTCTTTGGTGTTCTGGCACAGCATGGTGGGGGCAGCCACAAAAGGGCTGCTAGTTGCAGGAGGCGGAGCCAGCCACAGAATGGCCGTCACAGCTCACCTTCCGTCACACAGCAAAGATAAGAACAGAAGAGAGGCCAATGCTGAATCAGGCCAGTGGCCCGTCCAGTCCCACACTCTGGGTCACACAGTGGCCAGAAATACCAGTGCCATCAGGAGGTCCAGCAGTGGGGCCAGGACATTAGAAGCCCTCCCACTGTTGACCCCCCCAAGCACCAAGAAGACAGAGCATCACTTGCCCCAGAGCCCCTATCTATACCTTGTGGCTAATAGCCACTGATGGACCTCTGCTCCATATCTATATATCTAATAGCCAATTTGCCCCCGGAGTGCGGATCGCTAAATCAGCGCTCCGGGGGCAGCTGGGGGGCCGGGGGAGGTTTGTGCACACGTGGGCCAGTCCCCAC